GGAAGGAGGCAAGGATGTCCCCTCTCACCACTTCTTTTAAACATTGTATTGGAAATTCCAATTATGCAATTATACAAGAAAAGGAAATAAAAGGTATACGGATTGGGAAGGAAGAAACACAACTGTCTTTGTTCACAGATGATATAATCATCTATGTAGAAAATCCAAAAGAATTGACCAAAAAACCCTCCTGGAACTACTAAATGATTATAGCAAGGCTGCCATACACAAGGTTAATATTCAAAAGTCAATTGCTTTACTATAGCAGCAATAAACAAGTAGAATTTGAAAATAAAAACACATTAACATTTACATTAGCACCTCCCAAAATGAAATACTTAGGTATAAATCTAGCATAATATGTACAAGATGGATATGAAGAAAACTACAAAACTCTAGTGAAAGAAATCAAAGATGACCTAAATAAACAGAGAGATATTCCATATTCATGGATAGGAAAAAATATAGTCAAGATGTCAGTTCTTCCCAAATTAATCTATACATTCAATAAAGTCCCAATCAAAATTCAAGAAAGTTATTTTGTGGAAATCAACAAAGGGATTTTAAAGTTTATATGCTGAGGCAAAAGGCTCAGAATAGAGAACTCAATATTGAAGGAGAACAAAATCAGAGGACTGACACTACCTGACTTTAAGACTTACTATAAAACTATAGTACTCAAGACAGTGTGATATTGGTGAAAGAACAGACAAATCAATGCAACAGAACAGAAAGCCTAGAAATAGACCCACATAAAGACAGTCAACTGATTTTTGACAAAAGAGGAAAGGTAATACAATGGAGCAAAGATAATCTTTTCAACAAAGGGTGCTGGAACAACTGGACATTTATATGCAAAAAAATTAATCTAGACACAGACTCTGTACCCTTCACAAAAATTAACTCAAAATAGACTATAGACCTAAATGTAAAATGTAAAACTATAAAATTCCTAGAAGAGAACACCTAGGGGACACTGGTCATGGTGGTGATTTTTAAAATACAACACCAAAGGCATGATCCATGGGAAAAAAAAAAAAACTGATAAGCTGAAGAAAGAATTGATAAGTTTGACTTTATGAAAATTAAAAACGTCTGCTCTGTGAAAGAGAATGTCAAGAAAATGAGAAGACAAGCCGCAGACTGAAATATTAGCAAAAGACAAAAAGGATAAACAAAAAGACATAAAGGATTGTTGTTCAAAATATAGAAAGAACATTTAAAACTCAACAAACGACAAAAACTCAATTTAAAAATGGGAAAAAGGGCTTCCCTGGTGGCGCAGTGGTTGAGAGTCCGCCTGCCGATGCAGGGGACACGTGTTCGTGCCTGGGTCCGGGAAGATCCCACACGCCGCGGAGTGCCTGGGCCCGTGAGCCATGGCCGCTGAGCCTGCGCGTCCGGAGCCTGTGCTCCGCAACGGGAGAGGCCACAACAGTGAGAGGCCCGCATACCGGACAAATAAATAAATAAATAAATAAATAAAAATGGGGAAAAGGCATGACTGGTCCCCACACACACACACACACACACACACACACACAGATGGGAAATTAGTATATGAAAAGATGCTCACATCCTATGTCCTCAGGGCAATGCAAATTAAAACAGCAAGACATCACTACACACCTATTAAAATGGCCAACATCCAGAACACGGACAACACCAAATACTGGCAAGGATGAAGAGTAATAGGAACTCTTTCATTGCTGGTGGGAATGCAAAATGGTGCAGCCACTTTGGAAGACAGTTTGGTGATTTCTTACAAAATGAAACAAATCCTTGATATTTACCCAAATGAGCTGAAAAATATGTCCACACAAAAAAACTGCACACTGTGTTTATAATAGCTTTACTTATAATTGCCAAAAAGTGGAAGCAACCAAGGTGCCCTTCAGTAGGTGAATGGATAAAGTGTGGTACATCCAAATGATGGAATATTACTCGGCACTAAAAAGAAATGAGCTATCAAGTGAAATGAAGCCAATCTAAGAACGCTAAATACTATATAATTCCAATTATATGACATTTTGGAAAAGGCAGAACTATGGAGACAGTAGAAAGATCAGTGGTTGCTGGGAAAGGTGAATATATAGAGAACAGAGGATTTGTGGGGTAGCAAAACTCTTCTGTATAATATGTAATGATGGATACATGTCATTTTACATTTGCCAAAACCCAGAGAATGTATAACACCAAGAGTGAAACCTGAGGTAAACTATGAATGTTGGATGATAATGATGTCAGTCTAAGTTCATCAACTGTAACAAATGTACCATGCTTGTGTGGGTGTTGATAGTGGGGGAGGCTATATATGCATTTGTGGGGCAGGGGTTATATGGGAACTTTGTGCTTTCTGCTCAATATTGCTGTGAACTTAAAGCTGCTCTAAAAAATAATAAAGACTATTTAAAAGGAAAAAACATAAATATTCTACACAGAAGAGTCAATTGGATATGTCAACAATTTCTAATATATAAACTCTAAGTTATAATTTTGATGAAAACTTAGGCAATCATGTATTTTAAAATATTATCATACTGAAAAAAATTGAATTTTTCAGAAAAATGCAGTAATGAGGTCTTGCAGATAGATATGGCTAAGACATTTATTAAAATATCTGAATAAGTATTGTAATAAGAGTAGTTTGCTTATTTTGTTTTTAATGTTTGTAAAAGCCATATAAAGGTTTTTAAATTATATAGATGTAGTGGATAAGTATTTTTAGTTTTCAGAAATAACTTTTCAGTGAAAATAGTTTTTTTTTCTGAACTAAACCCCCCCCACCATTATAATAGATTCAACTTGTTACTCAATAATAATTTCTTTGAAAATGTCATTGAAAAGTTTTTTTTTTGTTTCTCTGCTCTGCCAACCAGAGTCACCCTGACCTAAGTGTTTTTTCCATAGTTCTGGTTCCTGTTTGCTTGTTCACATCTGGACAGACTGATCTCTCATGGCTCTCACTGAAAAGTGGGAAAGAACATTCCCAGAAGCCTCTAGAAACCTTTATTCACGCTCTTTGTGCAGATACAGATCACACACTGTGAACCCGTCACTGGAAGGGTGATGGAATGTAAGTCCAACTTGGGGACTTTACCTGAGGCCGTATCTGTGTGTGGAGAGGGACTAAGCACTGGTATCTAACAAAGTCAGGATTCTATTACGGAGAAAATGGTGAATAGAGGCTAGGAAGCTATCAATAGAATCAACTACAGTCATATTTTGCATACATTGCTACCAAATTTTATTCTGCTTATGAGATAATTTTATTGTCAATTTATGAATTAAATTCACAAAGTGAACTTTATAAAACAGATTACGTATTGTCATTCAGCTCAATGTTTGTTATTTCCCTGAAACTCCCTCTTGGACCCATGGGTTATTCAGAAGCATGTTGCTTAATTTACAAGTTTTTGGAGATTTTCCTGTTATTGGTTATCGATTTCTAGTTTGATTCAGTTATGATCACAAAGCATATTTTATATGGTATTTTTATTTTTTATATTTTTGGCCGAGCCACACGGCCTGTGGGATCTTAGTTGCCTGACCAGGGATTGAACCCAGGTCCCTTGCAGTGGAAGCACAGAGCCCTAACCACTGGATCACCAGGGAATTCCCTGGTCTTACGTGTTTTAAATGTTAATGCTACTTACATTTAATGTAATTATTGATATGTTAGAAGGTACGTCTGTCATTTTATTGTTTTTTCCTGTTTCCCCTTATTTGTCTTCAAGTGGGTTATCTGGACATTCTTCTATATTCCATTCTGAATTATCTATATCTATCTTTGTTTAATATTTTCAATGGTAACTCTAGGGATTGCAATATACATATGACGTTTATTACAGTCTACTAGTATTAGCATTTATCTCTTCAGATGGAATGCTGAAACTTAACCACCATTTAAGTCCCTTTATCCCCATCCCCCCATGATACAGTTATCTTAAATATTACCTCTACAAGCATTGAGAATGTCAGATAATGCTATAATTTTTTACGGTAACTTCTAAACGACAAGTATAACTAGATGTTATACCTGTCTTCCATAACCACAACGCTCAACGTGCGCACACTACTCATCACTCAACATCTAATCATCCACGAATTTAAGACCAACCACTTTCCCATACACTGTGCATTCCATACATACATCTGTGATCCCTGAAATTCATCTGATACTTGTTTCTCTTTGGGAGTCTGACCAAAAACCTGATACGCCTCTAACTAAGCACAATCTCTGAGATCTATATTCCCTTCCCTTCCCTTTTCAACTCATTCATGTTGTTTTATAAGTACATTTAGTTCACGAAGCAGTTTTCTCAACTGGACCATAAATTTCATGGCAGTGGGTTTCCATTCATTTTGTAGATTCCTCTAGGACCTGTTGTGGTGTCCTAGTACTTGACAGATAACTACAAATTCACTGCCCTTTCCGTGTTTACTGATTACAAAAAAAAATTCATCTATCTATGCATCCACTAGATCAGGCACCAAATTTTCCACAGAACTTCTTGTTCATACATCTAGCCCTAGCACCCCAAAATACTGGCCCATAAGGAACTTGAGCTGTTCCAGAAGAGCAAAAATTCTGAGGTAAAAACTCCTTAACCTTAAACAGTTTGCTCTAAAAAACTCTCTATAACATCCTTAGGAATCACTTTGTCCCAGATATGTAGCCATGCACAGCTGTCAGGTGTCCTCTGTGCATCCATTCTTACACACACACACACACACACACACACACACACACACACACAGAGTACTCAATTACCCCATTTTAGAACAGGAATAATTTATTTCTATGAATATGATTTTAATAATATTCCACAAGTACTTAGTAATCAAAGTTTTCTCCAAATCAGGAAAAAAAAACCAAAGTAATTAGCAAATATTTTATGTGTGTGTGTGTGTGTATGTATATATATATATATATATATATATATACATATATACATACACACACATATAATTTTTTTAAATCTCTTTCTGTGATTAGATTTAACTTTTAAGTGATGGAAGCAGTGAAGAACTCAATGCCAAAGCACATTTTGATAAGGCTTTTTCAGGGCAATTAATTTAGTTTCTTGAGAATATAAGTCACACTTGCTCCAATTCCACAAGGATTCCACCGCAGTCTTTAGGATGGAGAAAAATCACTGGTTTTCCATGTGCTCCTATTTTGGCCTCTTCACTTAGAATACGAATCTTCTTTTCTTTCAAATCCATCACAGCTGCATTTATATTATCCACCTTGAGAAAAGGAAATAAATAAGAACACATTTGAGATCATAAAAATACCAAACTATCATATCGTAAGGCTTAGAAGAAACTGCGAGCTCTCTGCCTTTGGGCAGAACCATTCTTAAACCAGCACAAAAATAAGCTTAATACTTCTAGAGAAGGAAAAGAAGTTGCTAAACTTTCCTAGGTAAGCAAGCACAATGCTTAAGAATTTTCACCATTAGTAAACATTTCTTACAACCTAAATATGCTACACTATTAGCATGTTCGTCTAGCAGTACTATTGACGATACTGCATAAATTGTTTTTCCTAAGAGCCTTGGGTTCTTCATTTATAAGAGGGACATGAGGCCTGCCATATAAATGGCCAAGAGATTAAAATAACATATAAGAAGCTTTGAGCACAGTTTATAGAAGGTACTCAGCAAATATGAGTGCTTCCCCGATCTCCAAACCTCTCACCTGACAACCTGTCTGGTTATTACTTTTGAGATTAGAACTTCATATACATGAAAATCACTATTAAACCGTCACCAAAATGTTTTTCTCCATTCTAAAAAAATCCAAACATTTATAATTTTGCAAGTCTCTTCTAAAACATTTCTATTTTCTTCATACTTATTAGCAGTCTAGGAAAGGAGCAAATCTGTTTCTAAATACCTGATGGAAGAGTAATTCTCCTCTGTTTTGGAAAATCATCCTCCTAGACTTGGAACCCAGTAAGTGGATAGAAAGGGACAGTAAGAATCCCTGTATTCCTAGACAGTCATACATCACCCTGGAGTTTAATGATCTAATAGCATTACAAACAATAATAAAAAAAAATCCAGAGAGAATAACACCCATGTACCCAAATATAGATTTAACAAATGTTCATATTTATACAATCTTACTTTCAAAGAGCCCAGGATTACATACTGGATTCTAAAACTGGTCAAACCACTGATAAGGATACTAAATGTTACTATAAATAAACTATAATTTCTTCAGAGTACATTCTACTTGTACATTCCTGACAATGTTTCTTTTTAAACCTGATAGCTATTTCAAAGTCATGCCCAGACTATGATGGTCATTTCATGCTATTTTGAAATAGCTGGTCTAGTCTCATCTTTCTCAGAACAGTAGGATTCCTGATAGCTTCCCTTTTTGTATCTGCATATAATGAATTTCATTCTACTGAATTTGACTTCTTTTTCCATTTTCCCAAAGTTAGTCTAAATTCAGTCTTTCCATTTAAAGATAATTTAAAAATTATACAGTACATGAAAATTTAAACATACAGGTAGAGCTAAGAACCCCTTGACTACCACTAATAATACTTCCTGCTCCAGAGGTAACTACTGTCCTCAGTTTGATGTATGCTCTGCCAAATCTTAAAATATATTTATAATCCCTACATATGTATGTAGTAGTAAAGAATCTGGTTTTGTCTATGAGGGATCTGGCCTTGACTTCTGGGAGATAATTTTTGTAACCTTGATAGGAGTGTCTTTGCCCTTGACTTGTGGGAGATAACCTATATAACCTGATAGGAGTGTCTCTGTTTAGGGTAGAAGCTGACCAACCTGGATCTTAAAGTAGAGCTGGCCATCATAGTCTTAGGGTAGGGGCTGGCCATGCCTGAAGCCATGTGATTTAAGGTAGGAGCTATGGGTCACATGATATCAGCAGGTCTGGAGACTGAGTTGAACCACATGGGCATTCAATCAATCGACCATGCCTAAGTAGTAAAGCCCCAAGAAAAACAACATTTCAGTTTGTGTGAGCTTCCCTGGTTGGCAATACTCAATGCATACTGTCACACATCAATGCCCGAATGGTCACGTGTCCTGAGGAAAATGGGAGCTTTGCATTTAGAGCCCTCCCAGACGCTGCCCTCTGTGTTTCTTCCTTTGGTCTGTATCATTTCTCTGTAATAAACCATAAGAATAAGTGTAATAGCTTTCGGGGAGCTCTGTGAGCATTCTAGGGCGTTATTGAGCATGAGGGTGGTTTTGGAAAACACTAAATTTGCAGATGATATTGAGTAAGGGCGGTCTTCTGGAGGACCGTGTGTCCTCTAAACTTGATAGCTGGCTCTGAACTTTGCAGTCTGACTAACTAACATGTATATCAATTAAAGTTTATATATATACACACACACACATACACACATACATTGTGTGTGTGTGCATGTGTGTACAGGGGTACATGATGCTTTCTGTGTATGCATTATTTGTATTTGCTTTTTTATGTAATATATCTTAACAATGTTTTCATGTCAGTACATATAGGTCAACAACTTTTAACCTACTACATAGTGTCCTAACTAATTACTTTATGGAAATATGAAAGGTGACCTAATCATTCCCCTACTAATAAACATTCAGGTTATAAGAAGGGAAATCTGGACTCTTCTTAATGGTTAGACGATAACTTGTCCTTCTCTAGTGTTGCCTATCGAACAAAAGAGTTTGGTGACAGTTCATGGACAAGATTCCACTGGCATTTGAAGGCATATGCACATAGCAGGGACTGGTGAAGACAGATAAAAATATGTTAAAGCAATATTAAAAGATATGGAAGACAGATTCAGATATTCTAGCAAAACTGAGCTAAAGAAAGAGAGGCCAGATGGAGTGACAACAGCAATATTTGAATAGATAACTGATAATTTTCCATAATTGAAGAAAGACTTGAGTCCTCAAATTAAAAGTGCACCTGAGAATAAAGCAGGATAAATAAAGATAAACCAATACCTATATATATAATAGAGAAACTGAATAACATCAGTGATACAGAGAATATCTTAAGAGCTCTCAGGGAAAAACAACAACTCCCTACAATTGAACTGAACAAATTCTTACTAGTAGGAACAGAGACCAGAAGATACGGGAGTAATGTCAAAGTACTGAGGTAAAATTATGTCAATCTAGAATTTTAAACTAGCTAAGTTATCATTCAAGACCCCTGCTTACACACACACACACACACACACACACACACACACACAAAACTAGATGACAACAAAAAGGCTCAAAGGAGATATACCAACCAGCAGCAATGTGTGCCCATTATTGGGATTCTAATTCAAACACACTATAAAAAGTTATAGAATAACAAATTTGAATACCTACTACGTACTTCATGATATTAGAGGATTACCATTAATTTTGTTTTAGGCGCCATTATGATTTTGTATAAATACATAAAAAATGCAATAAACACATACACACAACTAAAATATTTATGGATGAAATTACATAACGTCTAGAAATGTCTTCACATTCACATAAAAGGGAAGTGTGATACATGAGAGTTCATTATATTACTGTCTTTTTTTGTGTTTGAAGTTTTCTGTAAGTTAAAAGAATTAAGGCTAACTACTAAACAAATCGAACTAGAATTTGTAATATCTAAAATAGCAGAGGAAGAAAGAATTTTTTTTAAAAGTTTCTCAATTCAATAGAAGGCAAAAAGGAGAAAAAATAAAAACAAAAAAAACTTTAAAAGTTCAAGTACATTAGTAGTTATTATAAATGGAGACAGGTTAAATTTATGATTTGTAAAATGAGATTATACGAATATAAAAAATTTTAAATATATTTGTTGATTGCGAGAGATATACTTAAACAACAAAAAAAATTTAGCTATATGCTCCTTTTTAGAATATAAGTGTCTTCTAGGAATAGACCTAAAGAAAACCACACATACAAGAAAAGAGTAAAGGGATGGATAAAAGATATACCAGGTAAATATTAACCACAAGAAAGTTGATATAGCAACACTAATATCAGATAAAACAGAACTTAAAATGAAACATACTAACAGAAGTAAAAACATATACAACCTAAAAACAATCGACCAAGATGATAAAACAATCTTGAATCTTCATGTACCTAACAGTATTGCCTTGAAAAATAAAAAACAAACTAAACATGCATACCTCTCAGTATCTGACACATCAAGCAGATAAAAGATTAAGGATAAAGACAAGTTGTAATAGTTCTTTGAATATTCTGGATATAAGTCCTTTATCAGATATATGATTTGCAAATATTCTCCCCCATTCTATGAGTTGTCGTTACACAAAAGTTTTTAATTTTGATGAAGCCGAACTTATCAACCTTGTTTATCACGAGCTTTTGGTGTCATGTCTAAGAAACCATTGCCTAATCCAAGGTCATGAAAATGTACACCTATATTTTTTTCTGAGTTTTATAGTTTTAGCTCTTACGTTTAGGTCTTTGATCCATTTTTGGTTAATTTTTATATGGTATTATATAACTTTGGGGGATTTTTTTTTTGAAATGCTGTCTTAACCCAGTTTTGAGGCCCTGGTAAAGGCTGGTCAGTTCTCATTCTGGAGCAACTGATTAAGCCCACATGCCAATCACCTCCCTTATCAGGCTCTCATATCCTGGGGCCAGTATGTACCCACCTTAGTTGCTGCAGAGACAGGTACCAGACAACTGGGTACAGTTCCTATGCCCCAGAGCCCACAGAATTACTCAAATTAGCTAATCTACAGGGAGCCCATGAAACCTAGCTAACCCCCCTCCACTTGTCCCACTCAGCTACCTTCTACAGCTCCAGTTGCTGTTACCCTGTCCCCAGTACAACCCCATGTGCCCTACCTGGCAGCCTTCTCTCTTCTGGAGCTGTAACAAAGAGTTCTGCCTTTCACCTATCCAAGTGTCACTGTGTTGTGTCCAGCTATAAAAAGAATCTCCATATGGTGTGAGGTAAGGGTTCCAATACATTCTTTTGCATGTGGATATCCAGTTGTCCCAATGCCATTTGTTGAAAAGACTATTTTTCCCCCATTGGAGGGTGTTAGTACCCTCATTGCAAATCAAGTATGAGGGTTTATGTCTGACTCTTAATTCTAGAGTAATCCATTGATCTCTGTTTCTATCCTTATGCTAGTACCACACCATTTTGATTACCTTTGATGGTAGTAAGTTTTAAAGTCAATAAGTGTGAATCCTCCAACTTTGTTTTTCTCTTTCAAGATTGCTTTGGCT